CAAGCGCTAACTACAAAAGAAGGTCCACCTTTTTTCAAAGCAAATTTAATGTGTGTAGTCTGCTGCACGGTTCTCGTGACCAATGCAGACGTGTAAAACTTCTGCCCAGTTTGCTAGAACCTTTTGGCCATTTGCACCAAAACATTCAATTTCGTGCTTTCACCCTATTCGGTACAATAATGGAAACAAAGATTTCGTTGAAATCAACTCTCATGAGATTATATTGTTTTGGCAAGTTTCTCAAGTATTTTTGTGTTTGTTCTGTTTTGCTAAATTAAGTCTGCAAAATGGTCTTAATATTTTTAAACGCCCTACCAAGTTTATTGTCATATCCAAACCGTTCGGTTTACGTAATGCGTCAACGTCACAAATTTTATAGGTACTAACTCACACCTTTTGCTGTATTCGAGACCTCTTCACACCTCGAAAAAGAGGTTGTAGTAAGTCAGTACGCAATTACCCCGCCGAGGTGGCTTCTTGAAAGGAGTGAAGCCGTGGTTGCAGTGCTATGACATGGAATTGGTGATCAGTGGGAAAAGATTGTGCCATGGCGCTGTCCACGCGCTCTGATTACTTTCTTTAGTCCCACCAAAAGGTAATCCTATTAATTCGAAATGTGATTCTCATGCTGATTTGAAGGCGACTTACGCCTTTACCGAGACAACTAGCTGGACTTGCACATGTCAAGATGATAGAAAATTTACTCCAAAACAGCCATTTAATGAGAACCACAGTTTCATTCAAGGCTTACGAGGACTCTGTGAGTTTTATTGGGCATGCAATTAGTGGACGACCACCTACAAAATGCATATGACGCTTGATTAAGGAAAGCGCTGTCCATTCAATCACACAATTTTGGCTTCCCTTCTTGAGTAAGTCACCACCGTGACTTACTCAGACTTTGTTAATACGATCGTTGACATGCTTTCCAAGAAAGTAATGTGCAGTTACTACTGCTGAGTGAATAGCGTTTCGGTCATGGTCCACTCGAACCATAAAGTGGCACTAACCCTGTGTTTTATGAGCCTCATATCCCCGTACAGCCATAGCTCTCCACCTTGCTAATTTCATTTTTAGATCGAAGGTAAGGTGACTGAAACCATCAATAGTAGACCTGTTGTGCGTTTCTTCTACAGTGAAAAATAAAAGAAGGGGTGACTATAATCTTCCTGCCATCAAAACTATACTTTATGATAGTACCGTCTTACTCAGAAATAAGTTTTTTTAAAGCAAGTTGAAGCAAATTTCATGTTAATTAATTAGTTCTACATCCTTGAGATGCTAGGAGTTGTACTTGACTCACAGTTTGAAGACCTAAAAGTTTACTTTGAAGTTCATAGAGTCTTGTCAGAAAGAGACGAGAAGACTTCCGTTAAGCATAAATGTGGCTCACAACATTGGCTTTTCGTGACTTCAAGATGCCCATAATTTAAGTTTTACAACAACTCATGTCTGTGTTGTGCCCGCCTACGTCTCCTCGTTAGTTCATATCTTTATTTTCACATGGATGGCTGATGAAACTAGCCTTGGTTAGCTTAACCAACAAATATCGCTTCTAGAGAAATCTTTTAAGTAATTTTCAGCGAAATGACTTACAAACAAACAGATTTTTACCTGGAATAATAGGCCCACCATTGCTACTTGAAATGGAAAGGCCAAACGTCGTTGCACTCTCCATTAGCCGACTGATGGCTCTTGTCAGCTTTTATCTCGAAGCATTAATTAGCAGAAAGTGCAAGGAGGAGGATAGGTCTTACACACTTGCACATCTTGCACACATTTGCCCTAAATTGAAATTTTTCCTGGAAGGTACTGCGAAATCTGTAAAAAAACTACTTTGTGAATACGAACAAAAAAAGCCTTTCTACGCCGACATTGGTTTCCATCAGGAACAGTTAAACTAATGCTCCGGTATATAACTTTCAAAAGTTACGCTTTGATTTTACCAGAAGGTAAAAGTTAGGCATTGAAGGAACACATTTTTAAATACATTATGTAAGCTTCGATGTTTTATCTGGGCTATTTTAATCCTTTCCTTAAAGAAATGAAGCAAACGTGGACTGACGTCATTAGTAAACGTCAATTTGTCTTTCGGAAGCTGACTCATAGGAAGAGTGATGACTGAGGTTTTGAAGCCGTTACCGATGCGCTGATGATCCGCAATTCACACTCTGCTAATCATCCAATGGCCTTTGTGCACGCCTCCCAATCCACCAATCAGTGCGCCCAGATTCACTAAGTGACCAAAGTTGGACTGCAATATGTAAAAAGTCAAGCATACTAGCATCGCGCATTACCAGCACGCCTAAGGAAGGCCACATTTCTCTTCAGATGGATTTTTCACGATGGATATGGATTGTCCTCTTCGTTGCTGTTAGTGAACTCCAATTAGCTCCCTATGGAGCCCTTTACCAAAAACTCAAGGTCAGGATACCCGGTGACATTATGATTGGTGCCCTCTTTCCTATCCATGAACAGCCGACAGTGAATACAGCCTTCTCCAGACAATGTGGCAGCGTGCGTGAACAGTACGGGATACATAGAATAGAAAGTTTTATCCGTACCATTCAAACTATCAATGAAAATGAGGACATCCTTCCGGGGATTCGTTTGGGTGTAGATGCTCGCGACTCCTGTTGGTACGCTCCAATAGCCCTGGAACAATGCATGGATTTTATTCGAACTGCATTTGTCTATCGAGAGTACGAAGACTGTTTACGAATGACGAATGGATCGACTGAGAGATGCCTTCCGCCCGGAGTATCACCCAGTAGTATTGAGATACCGATTGCCGCATTGATTGGTCCTGGTTCAAGTGAAATGACCAAACAGGTGCATCAAGTGCTGCAATTATTCTCCATCCCCCAAATCGGCTACTCGGCCACTGCCGCGGAGTTAAGTAATATCGCGGAGTATCAGTACTTCTTGCGTGTCGTGCCATCAGACGCCTTGCAAGTGGAAGTTATTGCTTCGTTGTTGAAGAGGTATCGATGGACTTATGTGGCTTTGGTGAATTCCAACGGTGAGGTTCTACTGACTCCTTTTTTGACCATTTTGTAATGATGGAAATGAGGGGTTGATATTTATGGGTATTCACCCAAAAATGATGATAATGATGGTGATTGCTGTGGCAGTAGCAGCACCTAGTCCTCAATATTTTAGCCCCGATGCCAAGTTATTATTGCTCAAAGTGTAATGTGCTCATCTAAATAGGGAAGTTGAGTATCTTTTACCTCTTGGAATGCTTTCTGATGATTTCTTGTAAAATTAGTGAGGGTTGTAAACGTCAGTAGTCCTTCTGTCACATAAGCAACGAGATTGGATGGACTCGAAAATAATGTATTCATAATGCATTGGGGGGACACTTGTAATACCTTTTATTATGCCAATCAGTTTATTGAATAACATATTTGTTCCCCCAACACCTACCAACGACATTATACAAAAATACTCATCAATGGTACAAGGCTTTCTTGAGAGACTCAATATCGTTTCATTCGAAGGGGGATTTGACTTTCTCCTTCTAGTCGACATTTGGGACAG